ATTATCGATAAACCGTTAACCGGAAAACCGTTTACCATCCCTAAGAACAACCATACTGATATGAACTAAATGTTTTTTTCCTTCACAAATTTTAATGGATTTTTTTTTCCAGAAATAGCACTATTAAAAAAAATTTACAAAATAGCCACAACCCACACAAATTCCAAAAATAGCACCATTCGCCAAAAACCACCACTAGGAGAGGCGGTTCTTCCACAAACCACCTATTGAGGTGGCGGTTTAAATTCAATGAAGAAACCACTTCCTCAACAAGCGGTTTCGTAGCTAACCTAACAGAAACTGCCGGTTGAGGGAGCAGTTATAGGTACTCAACCGAAAACGCTCCTTGAGGGAGCGATTTGCGTTGCCGACACACAAACCGCACCCTCAACCTGTGATTTGTGTGTCGTAAAAATTTTCCCCAAACACCCGACATGTCGCCAAGTAGGGGTTTGCAGACGTGGGGCTACATGGCAAATGAAAAGCCGCAACCAATAGAACACTATTTCCTAGGTTTTTTTGTGGGGGGGTGGGGATGGATAGATATATAATTTTAGAGAGAGGGAAGAATGGGTTGTGGTGTGTAAAAATGGGGAGGGGGAGTGGGTTTATATAGCACTCGGACAGCCCCCCTTCAGGGCGGTTTTGTAATTTTGGACCAACTGAAATCACTCCCTTAGGAGACGGTTTGTGTTTTGCGAGGCGAGAAACCGCACCCTCGGCATGCGGTTTGAGATCCCTGACGCGGATTGCTCGGTTGGCAAGCGGTCAGCCGTTGGATCGCTTCAAGATCGGACGGTTCCAAAAATCGCAGCATGCCAAAGCGGTTCCCCGACCGCCCCAGTAGGAACCGTTGCTTCCCAGCGCAGTTTCTGTGTAAACCGCCCGTTTGGCGTGCGGTTCTTCGTCAATGATGCTAATTTTGGAATTTGTGTAATTTGGGTGCCATTTTTGTAAAAAAAAAATAGTGTTATTTCCAAAAAAATTCCAAATTTAATAACAGCTGACAAGTTTCGGATCTTTTTACTTTCATTTCTGTTTCCTGTTTTTGAGAAAACAGATGGTGAAAACATCATTTTATCGTTTCCGAAAACAACAGAAAGTTGCCACTTTCTGTTTTCATAGTTGGAAACGAATAAAAAATAAACAAGTTTTCTCGTTTCGGTTGGGAAATTTGTGACATGAAAATAGAAAACAGAATGAAAAATCACTTATTATTTTGTGGAACAACCGCTTTATGAGCAAAATATCTCTTCTATTTTTTTTTTGTCATAGATAGTTTGTAATAGATAGGGTATTACAATGCATTTGAAAGGAAAGAGCGGTAGTCAACCAAATGGGTTGCTACCCATGCAAGGGCCGTTTGTGCCACGCGATGGGCAGCCCTGTTAGTACTACGAGGAGCATAAATAAAAGAAATAAGAGCAAATGAAGTCTTTAACAGACATACTTCTTCAAGTACTGCTCCGCCACGATCATGGCTTATATCACCCTCCGTTGCTCGCCGGATCACCAATTGGGAGTCCCCACAAAAGCAAACAGACAAGTAACCATGGTTTAGACTCCATACCATTGCATCTCGCAAAGCCAGAAGTTCCATTAGGAAGCGATCTGAAATACCAGCATAAGACTTACCATATGCACAGACAACTGACCTGTCGACAGTGAAACCAACAAAGCCTATGCTGCCTCCTGTTCCCCGTCGAGTTGCACCATCGAACCTGATTAGCAGACCCCCATTTGGGCAGGTTGGAGTTGGTGGTAGGCTCCTAGATTGACCCGAAGGTGGCAGCCGACTTTGTGGAGCTGCAGTGGCCTCCCACCATTTGATTGTTTTGTATATTGCAGGAAGAGTGGACCAGGGAGATATTTAATTTTATCATATGTTGACCAGCAGCGGCCCTTCCAGATGCGCCAAGTTATGACAACCACCTCTGCAATTTCAGTTTTGGATAGCTGCAAAGAAAAAAAGAGCTTATGCCATGCAAGGTCAGGAGTTAGATTGGCCATTACTGTTCGAATCCGCTCCTTCCCTGCAAGTAACCACACTCCACGCGCAACTCTGCATTCAAAGAAGCTGTGAGAAATTTTCTCAATTGACTCGGAACAAACAGGGCAAATTTCAGAATCGGAAAGAGTCTTCCCCAATAGGATCGGTCGCATAGGGAGGAAGCCACGCACGACGCGCCACAAGAAGAACTTGAGCTTCGGCGGAATCGGCAAATTCCACAGGGTCTTCCATAACGCGGTGTTAAGATGAGAAGGAAGATTGTCAAACTCAAGCTCCCTTTCCGAGGCTAGCAACGGGTACCCAGATTTGACGGTGTAGAGGCCAGTCGCAGAGTAGTGCCAGATTAGCTTATCCGGTAAAGGTGCCGAAGGGAGAGGGATGGAGAGAATCCAGTTAACGCTCTCATGGATGAGGGAGGAACGGATTAAAGCCACATTCCAGGTCTGAGTAAAGGGGTTAATAAGTGAAGCAACAAAAGGGTTCAAGAGCGAGATACCCGACAGCAGAATGGGAGAAGAAGGAGGCGATGAAGGTAGCCAGGGTCGTCAAGAATACGAATAGCAGACTCGCACCCAACCTGCCACCGTAACCCCTTCTTGAGCAAGTCCCGACCTTCCAAGACCCCATGCCATGCCCACGAAGGGCGAGACCCTGCTGGTGCATCGAGAAACTGGCACTGCGAGTGATACCGCGCTTTGTAGAGCCTTGCAAGGAGAGAATTCGGGGCCGAGAGAATTTTCCAAGCTTGTTTGGCAAGCATTGCCACATTGAACAGATCGAAATCCCGAAACCCCAAACCTCCATGAAATTTACTAACACATATCGCTGGCCAAGAAATCCAATGCATCCCTCTTTCTTTATCTTGACCAGTCCACCAGAACCTAGCCAGCTGGTTGTTTAATCGACGACAAGTAGTGGAGGGGAGTCTGAAGGAGTACATGGTGTAGACCGGTGTTGCTAATCCAACCGCCTTAATCATTACCTATTTTGCAGCCAGCGAAAAGCCTTTAGATCGTCAACTCTGGATGCGAACAGCGAGGGCATCCTCCACAAAAAGAAAAGTCTGAACCTTAGATCTCTGTAGTTGAGCAGGTAGGCCAAGATACTTGTATAGCGGCCCAATTGAAGAAATCCCAAGTAGAGCTGCCATTGCAGCTGCCTCTTGATCCACCAGACTAGCACTGAAGCAAACCGAGGACTTCTGCAGGTTGATGCGTTGTCCTCTGGCCTCTTCAAATAAATGAAGTAGCTGAAGCAGATGTGTACACTCCGATGTTGTTGCCCGCAAGAACAGGTATGTGTCATCTGCGAAAAAGAGGTGAGAGACAGTAGGTGCAAGCCGGTGAATTTTCAACCCATGGAGCTGCTGTGAGTTAATGGCATTATGAAGTAGAATGGAGAAAGCCTTTGTGTAGATGGAAAATAACAGGGGGGGATAATGGATCCCCTTGCCGGATCCCTCGTTGCGGCCAAAAATATCCGTGTTCGTTGCCATTCAGAACAATAGTGAAAGATACTGAAGTAACACAAGCTCGTATCCATTTCATCCACTGTTCACCAAACCCCAGAGCTTCCATGACTACAAATAAGAAGCCCCATTCAACCCGATCGTAAGCCTTTTCCATGTCCAACTTAAAGCCATCCACCTATCCCGACCAGCCTTCTTCGTTTTCAAGTACTGCATAACTTCCTGAGCAATCAATATGTTATCAGATATGTCTCTTCCTTTGATAAACCCATTCTGAGCATCAGAGATCACTGACGGCAGTAAAACACTCAGTCTAGCAGTGAGAATCTTTGAAATGATCTTATAGAACACCTGACAAAGGCTGATGAGCCGCATTTGGCGCATCAGGTCTGCATTGGGGATTTTTGGAATGAGAGTAATGATGGTATGATTAAAGTTCTGCAAGAGCCGACCCGATCTGAAGAACGATGAGGCTGCACGGCACACGGAATCTCCAATTATGTCCCAGTACGTTTGGAAGAACGCTCCAGTAAGGCCATCTGAATTGGGGGCCTGATCAGGACCAATGCTAAATGTTGCACTTCTGATCTCCTCTTGAGAGACGACAGCAGTGAGAAAGGAGTTGTGAGCAGCTGTGATTTTCAGGGGAAGGCCTAGAGCATGCACAAGAAAGGTGGGTTAAGCGCCATTAGATAGGAATAGCTTCTGAAAGAACTCTACAGATACAGTCCCTTTCGCAGCTTCATCAAGTGAGAGTTCCCGTCATCATCCCGTAGGACGTCAATTAGATTATGTCTCCGCCATTGAGAAGTAGAGAGGTGGAAATTCTTAGAGTTAGTATCACCTCTTTGCATCCACCCCATTCTGGATTTTTGTCGCCATTACTCTTCTTCTTGTAAGTAGGCAGCCGATAACTGTTTCTCCATTTCTTTAATGATATCCCAATCTGTTGGAAGCTTGTCACGTTCATCAGCTATAGCCTCGCGAAGCTCCCTGATCTGCCAAGCAGAGTTTGTGGTTCCCAACCTCGCCCAGCCTACTAGTTGGTGCCGAACAGCCTTGAACAAGGAGAACAACTGGAATTGCAACGTTCCTTGCCAATGCCCTTGCCATTCACGAGCTATAATGTCTCGAGCTTCAGCATTGGAGCACCACCCTCGATCATAATGGAATCGATGCTTCCCTTTGCCATCCCCAGGTATCACCTGCAGCAAGAGCATTCGATGATCCGATCCAAGGTCGGTAAGATGTGCAACCTGCACATTAGGCCAAAGAGTTAGGATATCATCATTGCCTAAACCTCTATCAAGTCTCTCAAGAACATGGGTGGATAGCCCTTGCCGATTAGACCAGGTAAATGGAGGACCTTTAAATCCCAAATCCGTCAATCCTGCAGAAGAGACAAAGTCCCTGAACTGATCCATCACATTGAAGGAGGGGAGTCGGCCGCCCAACTTCTCTGAGGCATGAAGTAAGCAATTGAAATCACCTAACACAATCTTTGGTAAAACACAAGACGAAAGCAAATGCAACAGTTCATTGAATTGATCATTGCGGATATTTACATCACAACTAAGATGAACAAAGACCACCCCTAAAGTACCCCAAACTATATGCTGGCATTCCACAAACAAGAAGAAATCAGCTTCACCTAGGACTCGACACTGCACATTGGGAGCACATGCTACCGCTAACCCACCTGCTCTACCAACAGGAGACACACAATAGACAAACTGATACCCTAGACACATAAACTTCTTATTTACAAAGTCATCTTCATGTTTGGTTTCACTAAGGAACACAACCGATGGAGAGAATCGACATATAGCTCCAAACAGAGAGGGAATTGTCAGGGCCTCAGGGGGGAGCCTAATCCCGACAATTCCAAGCCACAATGCTCATCGCGCCTGGTGGGACCAGTTCGGGCTGGTTTCCTCCACCGCAACAGCATCAAGATTTTCAAACACAGCATCCATCGGATCCAGGCGAGCCTTCTTTGTCACTGCCACAATCTCCGCTGCCTCACTGGTGATATCTCTATCCCTGATCAGACTGTCCGAGGAAGCTCCGGGCAGGCCTTCGACTTGGACCTTGTCAAGCCCCACCGCGTGCCTAGGGCCAGCAAGCAAGAGAGGACGAGTGTCGGCTACCACAGCAGTACTGGAGGATCCAGCGGATAGGCCATGTTGCGCAGTCGCATCCGATTCCTTCCGAATCCAGGTGTATTGCTTTCGACTAAGTAAGGAACGCTCATTCACTAGGGGGCCAGACTTCTTCGAAATCAAGTCTCTGTTGTATGGGGTCCTCGTCCCTGCCAACTCCTCTCGACGATGACATTGCTGCCCAATATGCCCAAGGATTCCACAGAGATAGCAGGACTGGGAGAGGCGCTTGTACTTGATAACCGCTGTGAAACCGCCTTTGTCAACCTTCTCATGAGAAGCTGGAATCGATACTGGCAAGGGCAGACGCCCATCCAGCCAAACCTTGGCCTGGAGATAGATCTCCCCTGTTATTGGCACCCGATGAACTGCGCCCGGATCACTCTTGCCCAGAGCTAGTCCAAGGAGTGTTCCCATCTTCCGAGTACAGCAGGGAGGAGGAATGTTCCAGAACTGGAGAGGAAGCGGAATGCGCGAGAGTTTTTCAGCGATCTCCGCCGTAACCTCCACCCACGGGGCCATGTTCACCAGAAACTTGGGCAAGAACCACGGCGCTTCAGCAAAAACGCGATCCTTCTCAGCTATCGTAGGAAACACGAACTGGAACAGGCCCTCCTCGGCTGGTAATCCAGAGACGACCCAATGTGGTTTGGAGGTGAAGGATCGGAGGCGCTGGGCCAACCACTCGCCCTAGCAGCGAGAGATCACTGCGCTTCGCTCTTGCAACCACATCCGCATCTCCGAAAACCACTGCGTTCACCTCAGCCATCACGAACGAAAAGAGGTAGGATAACGAAGATTTTGCACAGAATCGGCAACAAGGCAAAGGGGAAAAGCAAATTGGCGACTGGAATCGCATAGCCCACCATGGTGGCTTTAAATCCCCCTTCATCCTGCACGCAGAAGCGAGCGGAACAGAGTGATGGAGTGGCCGGTTACGGCCGTCGCACTTCGGCGAGTTCGTCACCCCCACTTCCCACGACAGAGAGAGTTGGGAGCTTCTTTTTTTTTTTTTTCTCGAATCTCTCACCCAATTTTGCAATCTAATTTTTCAAAATATCTCTGCTATTAGAAACCAACAAAAATATATCCCTACACAGCTACACTAAAATCACACGAATATCTTTGTTCCAAAATAAAATTGAGCAAAGAACCAACTAGTCTAGAATATAGCTTCGTAACCGACCTGGTCAAACTAACATATCCATCTTCCCTACAAAAAAAAATCTAACAGAATCCCATGGCCATAAACAACACAAATATCAGTTCACTCCGTCACAAATCCTTTCCTCGCATCACATATCCCATAAACCATCCTCCCTTCCCCTCCCATTATGGCCGCCGTCGAATCCTTCGAAGATTGGGAGTCAGTTCACTTCCCCGAGAAGAACCCCTCCTCCTCTTCCTCCGCCGTCGCGCCGAATGAGTCGGAAACGATCGCCGACGTTCAACTAAACGGCACCGTTGCCACGTCCTCCGTGTCTCCTCCTTCGGCCGGCGTCATTTGCCCTCCTCCACCAATTAACCACGAAATCGTCCAGATTAATCAACCGTCGTCTCTAACCCTCTCCCTCCCGCCACCGGAGAATGAATCCGGCGATGAAGGAGGAGGGAGTGAAATTGGGGATGCGGATTCAGGGGAGAGGAGGAGTAGGGATCGGTTCGAGATTCTGAAGTCGGGAATCTATCGGGTCGTGCGGTGGTGCGCCGTCGGCCGGGGGAGCAGCGGGCTGTGGTCGTGCGTGGTGGTGGCGGCGGCGATTTTGATGTACGCGAGGCTAATGAAGTGGAGGCGCTGGGTGCGGGACGAGACGGCCAACCGTTTCAGTCTCCTTATCAGAGAAAAAGATGAGGTGGACATTTTTTTTGCTTTCGGCCTATGATATAAAAGTCTTTTTTCTTAAAATTACAAAAAAATAAATTCGATTCCTAGAATTTTTTTAATTCATTTTACATATCCCAAAAGAGTCGGAATAATCTGAACAGTACTTTGTTTGTTGGATTACAAAATGAGATTTTTATTGAAACTTTCTTAATTTATGATAATTTTTTGCATTATAGATTTAAAAGACTTCATTTTCAGTTTAGTTGGTTTTTATCATGAATTTCCAGTTTTTTTTTTACTATCGGTCTAACAAATTTGCCTTCATTAATCAAATTCCAAATAAAATGTGTGATTTGCAAATTCTTGATATACATGAATTTTTATTTAAAAAAATTCGAATTTGCATTCCAATATTTTCCTTTATCAATTAATAGAGTTATTCAAATTCATAATGTTGGAAATTCGGCTGCTAAAATTCATCACATGGACTTAGCTTTTTAGGTTTTTCATTTATGATAGACCTATAAGTTATAACTTAATGGAAGATAAAATATTTGCTAAGGAGTTATCCTTAACAACATCAAAAGCTGTGATTATAACAATATATATATGTGATGTCTGTGGTGGAATATGCAGAAAATCAAGCAGCTGATGTTGCAGATTGCGAGGCTGAACGAGATGCTTGTACAGCGGCGCAGAGTTGTTGTGGTTCGAGTTCCTCACTATTATAGTCTATAGAAACGCTGTAAATCGATCAAAGTTTGTTTGGCCTATAATTAAGTTGCTTGCACCAATCTCTCCCATTCGATCCATCCAAATTTGCCAACAAATTGCTATAGGCGACTGACTATATAGTGCACTAGTCAACTTTGCTGTTTTGTTGGTGCGATAATGCCTGGAGTTTTGGAAGTTGTGACTGAAGTTAAACCAAACTTAAAATTGTTAGATGCTTCTTTGAACTCGGATTAAGAGATGGTTTGAAAGTTGCAATTGTTTTTGTGCAATTATTACTATAGTTGAATTGTTTATGTGATGTGACATAATATGGTTCTCAAAATGAGTGATTGTTATACCTTAGTTTTTAGCTGATATTGTTGAGAGAGTTGGATTGAGATTTGTTGATATTTTTTTCAAAACTTAATTCACAATCGGAACATGGTTTATAATGCATCAAAATTATAATACATATTCACCTTGACGGGTATCTTCACGGCTCTTCTAAGTTCCAAGGATCATTTTCATGTCAAGAAAGGCAACTCGAGCCAAAATATTAAGACAAGACACAAGATGGGAGCAACATAGGATTCACAGCTCCCTACGGGAATCGGCTTCTTGCTCTCCCTGAAGCCAGCAGCGCAATTAGCACTTTCAGAAAGATTCAATTGGCACTTCGAGGCAGAAATGAGCCGCCGCGGAGGAAGGGGAAAGAGCAAATACCCTTCTTCCTCTGTTCCATGGGAAAGAGCGATCAATCTCTGTTTTGCCACCATCCGCCGGAGATAAACTAATTACTTCCATCAGTGAAACTGAAACTCCATCGTCCGAGAGAGACATGAACACGATCAGGGCTTCCACAGTTTCATGGTGCAGTCAACACTGTGAGTAGCAATAAGATTCCTGTGGGGGTGGTGAGTCACGCCAATCACTTCCTTCTCGTGAACCTAGACAGTCAAAGGACAATGCATGTACCCAAAACAGTTAACGTTCAGAAAACCAGCTTTCCTTGTAGTAACTGAATCAACAGAATGAACATTGGATTTAGGGGGATGCGTTTGGAGAATGGGATTTGGAGTATGGATTCAGAAAAATCATAGATTCAACAAAAAGTCTTTTTTTTTTTTTCCTTCTTGTTTTTGGCTTTCTTTATCATCAAACTTTCTGAAGAATTAAAATCTAGAGATAGTCTCTACTTCTCCAAACGACCCTCAATTCTGGACCATTTTGGAAGACTTTAAAGTTCAGTACTGAAATCTACGTCTAAAATGATCAAGGTACTAAGTTGTAATTTTGGGGATCAAAACATCAACCTAGCCCTTTACCCAATGGATCTAGGTCATATAGGGTTGAGTTAGTTGGGTGTTAAGTGGGTCAGGTTGGGTTGGCATTTGCCACCTACATTGGCATCTTTCAATGATACCTCAAGTTGCTTTCAATAGATAATACAAGCCATACCCAAGAATTGAAACTGACCTTCATTAGATGCTCTAATTTACCGGATTGGTAGCTGAAGCAATAGATATTCCTGCATTAACAAAATTGGCACAAAATCATCAATTAGGATTTAAGACCAGCAGCAACAGTCCACAGCTGAAAGAAACCATAGTATCTGGCTATCTGCTAGTTGTCTGTCAGTGTCAGCCACTAAGGTCTAAGTTATAAACCTAGGTGGCTAGATGTCACGAGGCCACAATTAAGCAAAACCCATTTTCCTTACCCGATCATTTCATTTTAGATTAAGACCGCAGCAAGAGCTGAGAACCATTTGAGGTGGTCAAGTAATTACCTGTCTTCACCAACACAGTAGATCCAATCCCCTTTAGGTGAAACACAGGCCGCTACAAAATCTCCACCTTCTCTTTTACCGGATGAGAGACTCTTCACAACCTATGCTTTTCATGGAAGAAACATTTTAAGTCAAAATCATATTTCCTTCCTGGTTACTGGTTGAAGAAGAAAGCTTTTGTTATCACCTGTCCTTGTAGGGTCATTATACATATTGATGATGTCTTGTTACATACAACAATGTGATCGGTGTTTTTGGGGAAGAGATGGACAGAGTTCACAGATGCATCACCCCCCTACAGTCCAGGAGAAAGGATAAATTATTCAATGATGAAGCAAGATGAGAAGTTAAAGAATAAGACTTGAGAATGCATATTGTATCAGGAAGCAATACCCTCAATGGAGGCGGCGGCCTAAATGTGTGTATACACTCTGCGCCCTTTACATCCCAAACCTACAACAGGATTTTTTTTTGTCAAGCAACCCAAATAAGAGCAAAAATATAAGAATTGGGGGAAATGTCGCAAATCAATATACCTTGACTGTACAATCACTTGATGCAGTAATGACACGTGTCCCATCACTCGTGAAGATGGCATGGTTTACAATAGAAGAATGACCGCGGAACTCTTTTAACATTTTCCCAGATTTTAGGCCATGGATCCTTCATGAAACACAGTACAAAGGAACATAAGAATCTCAACCAAAGGAAATTCAATTGACTACTAAATTACATGATATGAACAACATTGTCGTAGTTCAATGAACCTGGCTGTGTTATCAAAGGAGGTACTTAGTAACTGAGTACCATCACGTGAAAATGTCAAACTTGTTACACCCTGAGAGTGTGCACGTTCAAGGCGGCGTAAACACTGCCCAGTCCTTATACGCCAAACCTGCCAAAAGAGTTGAGCAAAATTTATCGAAGTAGAAGACTGCTTGGCTAATTAACACCACGGTTGTCATCACTCATCAGAGTAATTTATCCCAAGAAACTCACACTAAACAAAAGAAGTGATAGACATTATGTGTGTGTGCTTGCAGAAAGCAGTAGCATAATCCAGGACTCATAGATATCTACATAACACTGAAGGAATAGAAACGCTGAATATTTTTCTTAAGAGTAAAAAACCAATGAGGTTTATCATCATTCAAGCATAAATGACTGAAACTTACTTTAACTTTCCCATCTTGTGAACCAGAAGCAAGCATCTCAGAATCTCGGCTAAAATCTACACACAGGACAGAGTCATCGTGCATCATAAAGGTTTCCTGTAAAAAGAATTATATTCATAAGTAACTGCAAGACATAAAAAGTAACTATTCTTGCGTGAAATTTTTTAAGTTTTCCTAAAAAGAATGAGCACAGTACATACAGCACCACGCCAGATTTCAATACTTGTTAGTTTCACTACCTATATTGATGCAGCTGTTGCTGTTAAAGATAACTCAGGCAACAGCAAAACATCAATCTACAAGATATCCCAGGAACATACACAGAGCCAGCCGAGGATTCTCAAAGAACAACAAGAAGGACAAACACAACAAACAGGTATACGAGGAAGAAGTAGAGTCACCACCATTCATATGCAATTACCCATACTGACAAGAAACAGAGTGTCTTCTAAGCAACTGATCAATCAACATGAACTACAGAAACGAAGAAACATGGGTAACTGCATATGAATGGTGGTGACTCTACTTCTTCCTCATATACCTGTTTGTTGTGTTTGTCCTTCTTGTTGTTCTTTGAGAATCCTCGGCTGGCTCTATGTATGTTCCTGGGATATCTTGTAGATTGATGTTGATTGCTTAAAATACAATTTTAGAATTTTAATCAAAGCACAATGGACAGCGCACTCACATCAGCCTGGTATTGAAGATCCTTCTTGAGCTTTCCGCTCATATAGTCCCACACCTTATGAAACCCGGAAAAAAAAACAAGATCAATATCTTGCATCATTCATAACCCTCAGTATGGTTGCTTGAACAACAAAAGAACATACCTCAATAAAGCCATCAACAGAGCATGAGACAAGGAACTGGCCATCAGGCGAAAACCGAGCACATTCTGCATGACTTTTTGTTCCAAACTGTAGCATAAGATTGCAGGTGTAAGAAAACTTGAATTATTAGGTATTAAATAACGGCGAGAAGTAACAACTACACTAAATATGCCAAACTTTCACTGCCAGGAAGAATGACCTTTTACGAGAAGCAGATCTCTAGCAAAAGCATATCAAAGATTTTTCGCCAGCCTGCCAAAGTTGGCTGCTACAACTAAAAATAATTCGGAACAGCTATCCGAATCGATCATTGTTTCAACACAAGGAAAATTCTAATTTAAAAACTATGGACTGTCTTTCAGTATGGCTAACGTAGACAACGGGTTATATGTTACTAGTTATGCTTGGAAAATCACAAAATTGAATTGCATGAGCTCCAAGAAATACATTTATGTAACAGAGTCTCTTCTACAAAGAGAGAAAATGTACACTAAAGAGAAATAAGTACCTATATAACTGAATGAAAATTCAAAACAAATGAACTGCACAATGGCATGGACGCCAACCTTAATAGTGTGTGAAAGCGTTGTTGGATAAATATCATCTGCATCTTGCTTCATAGCAGCCGTACCTCGAAATAGGTCAAACTGTGTCCCAGGTGGAAGTAACCCTGAAAATATAAAGTAAAAGCGTTCAAAAAGAATTAGGCACCCATAGCTGACAACAAGAATGGCAACTTACGACCAAGCAGTTGCTAACTTTATTGAATAAACAAACAACCAGTAGGAAAGCTCTTTCCAAGTTTGCTCAAACATATGAATTACCACATCATCAAAATGAACATGTACCATACCAGAGGAAAAATTATAATAAATGATTATGTGTTGACCAAGTATTTGTAAAACCACATAGATTGTATCGGTGTAGTAAACTCCCAATCTCCAAAGGCATATATTATGAGGTTTCTCTAAGCAGATAGATACCTTGGTGCTGTTGCCACTTTAGTGCCTGCGCAATTAGAGCCATTAATCTTGAGGGTGGAACCACACCAACTTCGGCAGCAATCGCTGAAAAGAAAAAAGCACAAATAAAACTGCAAGCATTAAGAGAGGATCAATGAAGATATCCAAAGCATGTAACTGAGTAATCTTCAAAGAGAAAACAATACTAGGAGGAGACCAACTGTATAATTCACTTGCCCTGCAAAAATTTGAGAAGGTTGTATGACACTAAAAGGAACTTAAATCAACAAATAAACATAATCGATCCTTGGAGTTTGCTCTTAAGAACTTCTCTTGTTTCAACAAATTCCATAGAGCTTTTATCTTAGGCCACA